AATGAATATATCACAAAATTAGTAGCTGAAATCAGTAGTATGCCTTATCAAACATTGTCATGAAAAAAGAAATGCCTACAAATTTCAGACCTGCGTACTATTTTGGTTTCTCCATTAAATATAAACTTCGACAGGAACTTTCTTACAGTATTATTCAGCAGAAATAGCTAAACTAACTTCATGATGTGAATTTGCAATCGGCGATTCTCGAGGTTGCTCTTCCGGACTTTGACCTCTTGAACTTCTTGACGGATTGTTTTGAATAGTACGTGGCAAACAGATTCGCATTTCCTAATAAAAGAGTGAGATTCAATAACTGACATAAATTACGTCAGTTATCAGTTATCGCAGTACAAATCACTTGACAACATTTTCAAAGTTGGCTCGACTGACTGCTTATTTTCGCCATGCGAGCCATTTCATCGCAAACAATGCAAATTATTATGCGTTTCACAGAAGTAATTTTGACAGAAGTTTTTTGACTGCAAAACAGCTTCGATGTAAGGAAGCTAATCTTCCGTTTTGCAATTAAGACACATGCCTTTATGTAGAATAAGCACTTGTGAATAAGTTAAGCAAATGAGTTTGTTTTGAGGAAAAAGCTTTTCAGATTAAATAAGTATCCACTGAAAGCGCTGTGGAAACAAAAGTCTACTGGAATAGTAAAAATCAAATGATTTGTGTTCCACTACATTTCTATACAGCAAATCCAATTTTTAATATCCGAAATGACTACAATTCTTCGCATTTATTTCAATTAATACATGTGTTGCTCGCAATTATTCTTACATTCAATTTATTATTCTGAAAAACTTTTTTGCCAAGACTGGAGAGTGCATTTTCGTGACAGAAAATTGATTAATAAATTTTCTGTTTTATAAAATTAAAAAATCAGAAAGTTCGAAGTTATAAAATTGACGCTAAGCCTTTGTTCACGTGCAGAAGTAAAAAGGAAGATGACTGTTCTCTCGAATTAGCATATTTATGTATAAATGTTAAAGGCCATGAATAATTGCTGAATTTAAATGGATAATATACAAATGACATGAACTCTGATTTGTGACAAACAACATATTTATAAAAAGAATATCGCAGTCAGAACAAGACAAAATTATTTTATTACTTTAAGCAAGGTGCCAAATTGACAGAAATAATTAATAGTAAGAGCTTCTCAAGTTGCCAGTAGCACAAAAATGATCATTTATCATGAGCATTTTTTCTTGAAAGTCAAATTATCTGCCATAATGTTCATAATTCCACCACCTTTTACTAATATTAGTTATGATTACAAATTTTTACAAGAGCTTGAGTAGTAAATTGTATCATTTAAGCCTATATTCATCTACTTTTCCAAAATCTTAATGCTGTTTCAGAAATCTAAGCTATATTCATTTATATATTTTTATAAATTTTTGTGTGCAAAATTATTTTATTTGAAAATACGTATTTTCAAAGCATTGAAATTAAAAGTAATCCATTGAAAATGTTTACAACTCGAGAAACAGACCTGCATTAGTTTTTGATGTTTGTTCCGAAGTAGCTCAAGCTGTAGCATTCCTTGCCGAGATGCTTCTAACCGTTGTCTGATTCGGAAGTCCGGATCATCATCCCGATCGATCTCTATCAATGAGTCTACGCTACTATTAGCTCGACCACCGGTATCTTCTTCTGTCGATTCATCGTCACCAGAGTTTCCAGCTGGTAGCCAAGCCATTTGGCGTATAGCTGAGCAAGTTACGGACATTAACGAGCTCTGAGATGCTAACTTCAATTAGAAAATGATTTAGCATAAATGCATGCATTTAGCAAGGAAGACTGAAATACAAAGTTTTGAAAATAAGTTCCCAATAAAAATTTCTAGACTCTGAAATATATTAAAAATGTAATAATCCAAATTTGTAAGTCCAAAATGAGAAACGCAATAAAAGGATAATGCATCATTGATTTTAGCTTGTGATATCTTGACAAAATTCGCGAATAAGTTATGCTCATTGCTTTCATAAACCACAAAGTTTGGTTGCCACATAGTAAATAAAACTACAAATAAAATTTGCTATTATTTGAGTTAAAGAACAAGCCGAAATTAAAAGTGTAAGATCTGACGAGCTTAGTCAAGAAAAACTCAGTAAAATAAGTCATGAGCAAAAATGTTGCAAAATTAAATTCAAAATATGCGTAGAGGCATCTTACAAACTGTATTATTTGAATCGGAACAGTCTGAATTATAGAATGGAGTTGGCACAACGAACAAGTTGGATATCGACAGTTCATCTCCAACAAGCAATATTCTGCTTCCGAGCAGACTTTTAACTTTCAAGCAAATTTTTGAACTGATTTTATGCTGTTGCGTTTGATTTAGAACACTTATTTATCTTCATATTTCGAGATATTTTTTCATTTCAAAGCAAGAAAAGTAAATTGTACTGAAACGAAATAAGCGGAAATAAATAAATTGAAACTTTCATAACATTTCACAGCGAAAGTTTCATCTGATCATAAAAGGGTTTCAGTTTCAGCATACAACAGTGAGATAAGTTGGGTATCATAAAAGATGGTAACAAGATTCAAGGCTTCAACTTTTTAAAACTCTTTTCTCAATTTGTGTTGCTCTTTTCAAAATTCTTGCTTGAGATATTTTCTGTGAACAAATATTTTTGAAACTAATCGCTCTCCAAATAAGAAATAATAGAAGAGGAATAAACATGTTAGTGGAGTGAATTAAGATTGAAAGCACTAGCTTATGCAGTCAAGAATACATCACAATCAAATACAGTCTCATACAGTCTTATAATCGCAGAATTTTGATACAGTATAAAATAGTTATGTAGAAAATTAACAAAAAGTCGAAAGAGTTGAGCCAAGGCAAGTGAGAAAGGAGGGAAAGATTGGTAAAATAGTAACTTAACCTGTGAATGTCCGTCTCTTCTGTCCACCCACCCAACTTTATGTAAATATTAACAATTTACTTTACTTGAAAAGTTCTGCGAGTTTTTCTTTCACTCCTTTCTAAAAGCTATTATTACTCTTTTTCGGAATGAGCTTCAATTTGAGCAAAAGCTTAAATAACATTTCCAAATCATTGCTCACACACTTACAAGGCTTTCTTTGTTACCGAAAGGAAGAAAAATTTCGCGGAAAGCACCTTCAACATATTTGCATAGCGATTCTCTAACCACTTTTTAGTTTCAAAACTTATTAATAAAAAACAAATTTCACGCTTTTTGCTTTGCATTTCAACTGTGTCTGAGTTTTCGTTAGAATCTGGTGCAAAGACAGTATGTAACTCTGCTCTTTTCCCTCTTCATACTGAATATTAACAATTTACTTTGACCAGAGTCAGAATTTTTTTGAAACAACAAGAAGTATGCGAAAAAATCAAAGAAACATAGAAACAGAAATGATAATTAATCCTTCACAGAAGATAAGCACTCAAAAACATTTCACAAATAATTCTGCGCAGCTGAATGCTCAAACCAACCTTTACTTCACATTATGCACAAGAGAAAATCATATTAAAATGACCATTGCAGACATTTTGACTAATTTCACATGAATAGACTAATAATGTTGTGGCAATTTCTGTTTCTATTATAAAATCTGTTCAAAATTTAAGTTCAGAACTACAAAAATACAGAAAGTAAAATTAGTATGCAGCAGAAAAAAAAGGATTTGTGATTACTGGAAATTAGCACTCACAAATATTTAAAAAGTTGCAGCAAGCTAGACATGAATAAGCAGTTATTAGGCAACCTATAATTAAAGCATTTCTATTCATAATGCATAGACTGATTTATAAATTTCTGGATCTGAACCGTTCACAAATACTGCCGCTAACAAACAAGAATTCAGCTTTATTTTGTAAAAAAAAATAAAAAAGGCAAGAGGTTATGTCTAAATCAACTTTAGCAAATTATGAGATGATAGAGACGAGATACTGTAACTTTATCGTATTGTGATATTACCCAAATACTCTGTAAATAACTTCGATACTGCAAATAATTTAGATGAGTTTTTATCTTTTAAAAGCTGAGCATAGATAGATTATTGCCTTAGATTCAAAAAATTCCTAAATTATCCAAACAATATAATATGAAAGAAGTTCTAAAGCTAAGTGAAATGTTCGACCTAGCTTATAATTCTGATTCACCCTTGACCCCCGAAATATTCAAAAGGTGCAAACTTACCATATGAAGGTTTTCAAATTAATAATAAATATTTGACATATCTTCAAATTTATCTTTCCAGCTGTGTCTGTGTCTGTGTCTGCATGCATGTATGTAACAAATGTTGATTGCACGTAATTTGGAACAGCTCTCTGCGGGGTAGCCGTCTTCTCGTGCTGCATCTTGGAGGTGATAGATAAAGGTCGATGACTGTCGACCGAGTTATTCTGAACGTTTTCATATTCCCTAAACCAACAGTAAGTTCGGAATTACTGGCAGAAATCTCTTGAATACTTCAGAGCAGCCCTTCAATTTTTGAAAAATGTAAAAAGGACGCGAAATTCTTTACAAGCAGCCAAAAAGTGCAAAATATTTGGCAATTTTGTAAAGACTTTTTATTTCTGATAAAAATGTTCTTTTTCCGATACAGGCGTATACCTGATATAGAAATCATTGCAAATCAATAAATATGCAAAAGAAAAACTTTCCAACTTTGCACCATGTATTTCAGCGAACAAAATATGGGATCATTAGATATATGCAGCGCTAATCTTTTATTAGCAGTTCTTTACAGCTCACTGTTTGATATATACGATTAGCAGCCACTGAACTTCACAAAAATTGAATACGTACATGATTTTAAACAAAATATCTCATCCAGTTATAAGATAAATCGAAATTTATATTTATGCAATAATTAGATAAAATAGTTGATCTGCATATCTGATCACGACGAGATATGTATGCGAACGACAGTGCTCAAGAAGACGCTTAAAAGCATTTTATTCGATCACCGCTATGTATTTCAAGAGTATAGAACTAAAGAGATCAGCACAACCAATCTGAACGTAGAACAAGTACAGCCAGAATGGCAGAATATATTTATGCTTATCCACGCCAGAATCACTAAAGTGGAAAAAAAGACCAAGTTATTCAAAGAATTGCTCGAACTTGTCGGTTGTCAAGCAAAAAATTACCATCGGTTTGACTTTCTCGGTAACCTTTGTCACCTGTGTCATAGATCGTCCGTCTCCTTTGCGTATTTTTATTCACTTATTCTTTCTTAATTTATCAAACATTTCATTCACAATGAGAGCACGGGATAGTATTTTGCACTGTTCGTTGCAAGCATGGTCGAAAATTGTTGGCAATGAACGCATGCAAGTGATAGCTAAGGAGGTGATTGTTTAATCTCTTCTATTAGCTAGTATTTACGTTCTTAGTGAGGTGCAAGGATGACTGGTCTTCAGATTAAGCTTGCATATTGTTTTGAAGCTAAATGAAACTGCTGAAGTTGGGCAGTTCATTTCAGTCTGCTTTATGTTTTAAGTATTATGTTTTAATTTTATAATGATGGTAGCTTTTTCCAACTTTCTAATCTTTTCAGTAGTTAGGTATGACCGATATCATAGGTCTTGCGTATGCTGGCCTTATTATTACCGGAGGTTTAGTTGGTTACTTCAAAGCAGGTATTTCAAATGCTTTCTTCAAATGACAGTCGTATCTATTATTAAATGTGCTGAAAATGAGTCTGGATATTATAAAGTTCTGAGTAGATTATTGAAAATGTCTTTTTTTGAAAGGTTGAGACGTTTCTCATTTGTGAGATATTAAAGTATTTACTTCAGGCAGCACAGTATCATTAGCTGCAGGGCTTGCATTTGGAGTTGCTGCTGGTTTTGCTGTTTACTTCAATAACAATGTTATGCTTTTAGGTACTTCTCGATATCAATAAATGTCCCATAGTGATTTTCATTGTTGTTTTTTATATTCTTTCATATAATAATAAACTCTCGCTTACAAGCTTGTAAGTTCGAAATTATAAAGTTTGGTTTCCTTGTTCAGCATTAGCATAAACTTGTGCTGGTAAATGTGATCGTGGCAAAAAGTGCGTAAATATTAATCAGTTTTCTGTAGTCGCATTAATAAATAAATAGTATCTTTTGTCACTTTTGGTTTCTTACTTGCATAAATACTTTTTTAGTTGTTAGTTCCGGTCTAGCTTTGGTGATGGGCATTCGTTTTATTCATTCTGGTAAAGTTATTCCTTCTGGAGTTGTTGCTGTTTTAAGGTTGGCTTCATAATTTGCGTATAAATTTAGCTCAAGGACCTTTTGAATTCTATATTTTTTAAGTATGTTATTATTTAAAATGGATTGTTGCACGGTTTTAACTAATAAATTCAACTTTCAGTCTTTTTATGGTTATGCGTTGCCTCTGGCATCATTTTCACTGAGCAGTTCTACCCATCACAGTTCTTGGAAAAATTGCATAAATCTTAGTGCGACATGACAATTTCATTTGAGCATAGGTATGTTGCATATGCTCCTTTACGTCATCCATTACATTGTAGTGTTCATCAGTGAAAGCTGTCACATGCAGCAAAGGTTCTTATTTTCTATCCTTGAAAACTGCAGTTGTGTGTGATATTTTCTATTCATTTCTATGCCATGACTTGATTTGATTAAGGAGCACTGCTATAGATTAAACCTTATCTCATATGGCTTTTCAAAGGTTAACTTGCATTCATGGTATTGTCAATTTTTTATTCTTTGTCACTGTTCCAGAACTTGCTCTTTTCAAAATTTACTGCCTTTAAACGGTAAATTAGGTAAAGCTTGTAGATAGCACAATAGAGACTGCGGAAAATTTTGTCAAGTAGTACTATTACGAAAATTAAACGTTAATCCCTTTATTATTTAATTGATTATGTGTAGTGATTACCCAGAAACGACAATACGTACAACTTGTTTCCCAAGTACCATTAATGAGTTGTTCAGATGATTTCTTGTATGACCTGAACCACTGTACTAATGTTGGCGATGCTGCTTCTGACATTAAAAACAACGAATGTAGAACTCAAAAATTACAAAAGTAGCTGTAATTAAATCGCTTCATTGAATATAAAGTTTAGATGACAACTGTTTTCGACTTGAGATCCCAACACAATTTCTTTGAGTAATTAAGAGTTGTTTGCTGAAGTAGTCTTTCTAAAGTAAAATTGCACTGATTTATTTTTTCATTTGAGTTAATTTTTTCTGTCTGCATAGTGATTTCGAAGAATTTTCTGAAATATACACCTTCCGGGATTGGAATTTTACTGCATGTAGTTCTGAATTATGGAATATTATTTTACATACATGAATTTCTCATTCAATGCGCAACTTGAAGGCCTCGATAAAACTTTTTTTTGCTTGTTTGGAAAAACTTTTGAGAATTGTCTTAAATGACTGGAAACGCTGAAAGGCAGGAAGATTAATATGAGCGTCTCCTCTCATCTTTACTTTTTGTTTCTGGCTATTTTTTTTTCAGTTGTCCAATATGATATCATGATAATGATGAGCTTATATTCTCGTGAAATTTATTAAACGTTAAACATAATTACCGTGAAAATTTTCATGGTAGCAGTTTATTTTATTTACTGAAAAGATTCAAATGCGCATATTCATTTCAGTGTCACATTGAATTTTTGTTCGACTAGTCCACTGATTAAGAATAGTAATTTCGACACAATTTTTTACCCTCTCTAAAAACTACTTGCAGGACGAATGCTGCTACGAGAATATAAATCACATCTACGCTTCAGTTGCTTGCACATTCCATTTATCATTTTCCAAAACTTACTATAGCTAGTAACACAGCGTACAGTCAGGTCCTGGTCGTTCTCCGACAAATCTCAAGACTGTAAAGTCATAAATTTTATTGATCTAAATTTTGTACGCGGTTTTGGTAAGAGGATGAAACACGATGGAAATGGAAAAAAATGTACAAATCATGACATAGATTTGTAAAGACAGACATCAGATGGAAAGCAAAATATCAAACGAATAACGGGAGACTGGCCCTAAATTTATTTGCCACGATTTGCTGACAGAATGATTTTGATATTCAATACCTTATATTTTCTCACTTAGCAATACTATTTTAACTTACGATATAACTCTTTTCCCAAAAATGCAATGTAAAAACTATAAAGTGATGAACGTGGTGAAAAGAGATCTATCCAACCGAGATATCAGTTTATCTTAAAAGAATACAGAATTCTCCACTAGTATTTGAATATCTGCGTATGAGGATTTGTAATATTCAAATCTGCTTCTAATACCGGAAGCCTGTCCAAAATTCGTTCTAGTTTCCTAAATTTTACATTAAATTCATTAAGCCTCACAATATAGATTATATTGAACGTTTCACGATCTCCATAGTATTCATTCAAAAAATTGGCACCAGATACTTGGGACATATAATTGGAGTATAGTGCGAGATACATTTGAAATCTTACTGCTCATATAAGTGACAGAATAAACGAAACAACACAAGCATTGGAGACAAATTTTGAAAAAAAGTATGCAAAATTCATAGATTGACTGAAATCAAAGTGGCACTTGCAACTGAAAAAATGCTATCTGGTAACTTGTACTTGGATATATGTTACACAAATTTTTCAATAACTGGTGATAAATGACCATAACCTGATTTTGTAAAACACCAAATATATCTTAATATGAACGGTTTTATGGGCTCAATTAGCAAACTATGAACTAAACTAGAAATGCCCATAAACGAAGATAAAAGAATCGAGAACAACAATAATAATACACGAAGAGCTGCCATACGCATCGGAATTGGATCTACTTATCATTTTTTTAAATTAGAAACTGCAGTGATGGGTAAAATGGCTGAAAATCTCAACAATAATTTGTTCGCATCAATGATAAACTGTGGAAAGCCGATACTAATTGTAATTAAGTGGTAAAAAGTAATACTGAGAAAAGTCGACTGACAACTACAGTAACAAGAAGGTAAGTGACTAAGCAATATCACATATTTGTATCAGACTGCACTTGCATTCCAATACATGATGAGACGACGTTCATGTCAGCCCTTCAATTTTCGACACTACACACTCTATAAGCTCCTGTCGACCATCGATGTTATAAAATGCTTTGATTCGCATTTTCAGCTAGAAAGAAAGAAACTACAACCAATAAAATTACGAAAAAATTTGAAAAGTGAAAGCGAACTAAAATAAGGTATGTGCAATTATCATAAAAAGTAGTTCAAATGTAAATGACAACCACTATATATACTTGATGAGATGATGATATCCTTTTAATGCTCATCATTTGTGTAATCGTACCTTCCCTATTAGGTGGTAAATTTGAGCTAGACGGTGGCATTAATTCTATTTGGAATGACTGAAAAATACACGCAATACATTCACTTTATACTTTTTTCATCCAATTTTATCATCAAAAAAAAAAAAGTGCGCCTATTTATAAATGCAAGCATGCAGAAATAAGTGAAAAAGAAGATCTAAAATGCAGAAAATTTCATCACTAATTACTGATAAAAGTTTTTTACAACCCTAATTCATTCCATATTCTGAAAGATGAAAAATTGTTTAATGACAGAAACTCATATAGCAAATTAACCTTTGTAACAGCTGCTTGAAAACTGAAATCCTCCACAAACAAAGGATTATTGTTAGTCAAAACAAGCCTTAAAGTTGCTACGTTATTTGGATTGAAAAAACTATCGACATAAAGTATTCCTTCAATCCCATTTGTATTGATTGCCATTGTCGACGGCTGTGAAGGTATTTTGATGACATCCCTACATATAAATTAGCAAACTAAAGCGAATGCTTCGAAGCGCGCAGCATTTTATGAAAATAAGAGGAATATTAAAATGAATATTGAAATAACGTATAGCATAAATTAAAATACAAATGTTACGTTGAAAATATATCGAAAGGATCTGAATCATTCACCGTCGACTCTTCTGGCTTTGAAGGTATTACATTTCCAGTAAAGTCATTGATCAAATCTAAAAATAACAACATATCAATGTGAAAATTTCAATACAAAATCGGCATTTATAGTTTTAAAATAATTCCTGTAATTTTTTAAATTATTCACATGCAATAATAAAAAACATAGAAGCAATGATCAGTAAGTAATGAATAAAATGCTCTGGATTAAATTGGATGCAACCTAATTCAGTCAAAATACCATTACTCCAGAAATTAATTGAATTTGTGCCATTCGTTACTGGTGCAGATTTTGAGCTACTGTCGAAATCTTCAGGAACGTCAATATTCATTAATTCAAACAAATTCGACACCCCTTTCTAGAACTTATTAAAGTGAATAAATAAACATTTTAAATTCAGTGAAATGTATAAATAAAATACAATACTGCTGATTGCGAGGAATCAAACAACAACGAATCCTGTAGACCATCCACTAAAGTACTTGTTTCCGATCTGTTTTCAGTTGCAACACTTCCATTTATTAAAGTATCTCGTTCAATAGGTTGAGCTGCTGCATTTAACGTGTTATTTGTTATTACAGGCATTCTCTCCAACAGGCCATACCTAAGGAAAATAATTCCATAAAATTTCTTCAAGCTTCATAAATATTTTTACAAAATATCTCGGACTATTTCGTCTCCAGTATCAATACTCACAAAAATCCAATGGTATTCAACGTGAAAATCTTCAAAACGAAGTCATCCCAAAACATAATAAGAAAGAACTTGGCTGAGAAAATGCTCATTTCTCGTATCAAAAAGTCATAAGAAATTTACTTTAATTCGCTGTAATTTAATAGTCGGGAAAATTCAACAGAACGCTGTTGAAGCTCCAAGTGAAGATGAGTCATATTTGATTCAATCAAATGACGAATACGACTGAAACATATGATTTTGGTGCACTAAATTTGCATGTCATTAAATTAAAAGCTTAAAAGCTGACATTTTGATATTTTAAAATTAACAACAAAGAATAAAACTGAAACAATTTTATTCATTATTAAGGCAAATGAGTATCTAAACAATGTACCCATTTGTAATACAAAAGCGTGTGTCTAGTTTTGCCAGGGCTGTTAATGCATATGCTTTGGTAATGGTATTTGTTAAACTGCTCAGCAAAATCCGTTCAAATATATCAATAATGCTCGACTCTTCAATCTACAAACTGCAGTATTATAATATCTTTTAAAAAACTACAAATAAGTGCACTTTCGATTTCATGTAGGTAATTTATGAAGCACTCTGATATTTAAAATGTTTCATGCAACTTGTGATTTATTATTAAATTATTTCATGTTAGAACCGAATTTTAGTGTGATGTTCGAAAATTAAAATAATTACAACATATAATCAATACCTTGACTGTATCATCATCACTCGACTGTAAAATAATATCCGCAAACTCACCAATTGTCCAAAACGCTACCTTAAATTATTGCACCTAAGCACTACACATGCTACTTAAAACAGCATTGTAAAATGACATATTGAGAAAAAATTACTGAATTGATCGAAAACTTAAATCCAAGAGTTATTTGTTCTCATATGAAAAAAAAAGCTTCTATTATGAAAATCAAAAATCATAAATGGAAGCAAAACTATAACTCTAAAAGAAATTTTGTGTAGGTCCAGAAACAACATGAGAATTCATATTTCCGTAATAATTCAATATAATCTAACTTGTAACAATGGTTGAGCATTGACAACATCTGCTTGTGCAGCTCGAAAGAGCTGTAAAGTTGCATAGTGCTGTAATTCTGACTGAGATGAAATTAACTGAATCATGCATGAAACAACTTCATCCGGTACATGATTACCTGCCTAAACGATTTTAACTCTGGAATAAATTTCACAAATCTGGGAACAACCAAATTATAAAAATTATTGAATGAGTTCACGAGGAACTGAAATTCAGCACTATAAATGAATCAATAATTTCTTTAAAAAAAAATAAAGAATAAAAAACTAAAAAATGATGCAAAATCTGCATTAATAAAACTGTTCTGCTCACCAATTTTAAAACTTGAATCATTGTATCCAGATGCCAACCATAATTAGGTGAATACTTCTCAGTAGCAATGTACATTTTCGATGCACATTCTGCTTTAAAATCAGGATCAGCAGTCTCCAAAAATATCAATATTTCTTTCGTCATATTTGTAATGTTAGTTTGATTTATAAGTGCGAAACAAAGTTCCATTGCACGCCTTAAAAAAACAAATGTACTGATAATGACCGCCAATTAAACAAAATAATTACAACGCGAACAAAATTTACAAACTTTCTGATAGATACATCTGGATCTTTCAGACAATCAACGACTGTTGTACGGTGCCTCTGTACAGCATTATAATCGACAGACACTGTTTTCAACAAAGTATTCAATGCAACATATCGAATATTCTGAAAAAATTACTTCGACATTTAACATTTACTGTCAATCTCAAAACCTCTACTATGTCGACCTTCAAGTTGAATGAAAAATCACAAAACCTTATCTGGATTCAATAAAAATCGACCAAGAATATTTACTGCAAGCACACGAAGACCACTTTCACTTCGTATTTCCATGATAGTCAACACTGTTTCGTATAAGATTGCATTACCAACGTTTTTTGAAGTCTCAGTATTTGTAGCTACCTTAAACTTCACAGCATATACAAATTAATGGAAAAGACCGAAAATATCGCACACATTTTAAAAAGCTGCAAACTGAATTTTACACAAACCTGCGCTAAAATATCATTCATTTCTTCGCTTGATTTTGCGTCATCACGTCCCAAAATCCGCAAAAGTTTTAAAATTTTTATCTAAAATTAGAAGTACTACCAACAACGATTTAATAATGAATAAAGTATTAAATGCGACTACGTTATAATCTGAGCAGACATACCTGAAGAAATGGATCACTGATACCTGTTACATCATGTTCAGGTGAGTAGCCACTCATCAAAAGATTTTTTAAAATGCGTACTAAATTCGGTACCATCTACAAAGTATATAAAACTACAATAGCTATAATAATTTAAACAGTTAACAGAGATAACTACCCAACAAAATGTTTATAAACACTATAAAAATGCTAACAGAGCAATTTATGATAACTAACTTTTTTGAAATGATTAAGTACATCTGGACTTTTTTCACACATTTCAGTAACAAGAGTTATTCCACCAATTAATACACCTGAAAACTAATAAATTGAGAATTTTAGTGACTGCACATCCAAGTTTAATCATTCATTTCAACAGACAATGACGTACTCTAATTTCAGCGATGATTTATTTCTAATCACTATCAAAAAATAAAATTCAATCATCAAATTAACTTGCTATGAAGAACATTTTGCTCAATCATCACCTAATCAACAAATCAATTTTGGCAAAGAAAAAATTTTGAACATAATGTTACCTATCAGCATAATGTACAAAAAATTGTAACTCAAACAAGCACATCACCATGATTTTTTTCGTTGACCAGAGATTTTGTGCAGGAAATGAACATTTCCATAAGTTCTGGTACTTTCTTTACAATTCGAAAAGCGCACAAAGCAGCCTGAATGAGGCATTTTTAAACTACCAAAATTTGGCATCAAAGCACAATTGGAAACTTTTGGAAAAAAAGCTCATGAACTGTGCACAAAATATTTCATTTATATGTTTGAAGCCGGTTTTTATTCCCATTGGAACACAAGTTCACCTTTTTCTTGATATATGTATTACTAGACTTTATTAGTCTTTCAATCTCACCAGCCAAATCGCGACACATTTCTGAGGAACAAATTGATCCAAGGGTACAAAGTGCAAGACCAGTGACAAACTGTGTAGACGCATTTAAATCACTAAAATATAACTATAAACTGTAATAAAAGGTTAACTCATACGTAATATATGAAACTAAGGATATGAAATTTAATTTAAAAAACAAAAACTGCCAAAAAGTACTGCACACTTTTTCAAGGAGTTTGTTACAAGAAGATGAACTTCAGAACGCTCATCCAACAACAGCATCGCACCTAAATAGCCAATTCGCTTGTCAGTATATCTTGGCTGCGCTACTAATTTCATACATTCCATCTATAAGTTATTTTTAATTCTTAGATCGTTTTAAGAATTCAGCACAAGCATGTGTTGTTTATAGAGAACTATATACCCGTATCCATCTTTCTTTTAAAAACTATGGTAAATATTTTTATGTCAATAATTTAAACGCTTTTCTATCTATAAGAAACTTCTTTTCAGAATTCCAACCACAGAAGTGAGAGATGGGATAAAGTTTGACGAACTTAGTATCGTGGACATGACTAGCTGAAAATCAAAAATTCACTTGTCCAAAATGAGCCGGATAACCTAACATATGTATGTACAACAATTTGGCAATATTTCTACATTTCCATGGACTATCATCGTCCCGAAACGTCTCTCGGATGTTAGCACTTTCTCGATCAACTACAGCCCGTTCCTCAGCCATAGTGCGCGCTGCCCGTACTTGACGTATCAAGTCCCGTAGTCGCATCGGTGTACCCAATGATCTGCATTAAAAGAAACTGGGCAGTGAAGTATATTATCTGAATTAACTTTCACTCGAAATAAATTGACAACACGAAAGAAAACATAATCACTGAGCAAGCTCTAAAAGCAGAAAAACATTAATAATGATTAATATTGTAATGGAACGCATTATCACAACTATAAATTCACTTTGATGACAGATGAGTCGTTGCACGCATACCCTTCTAAGGTTAAGAAAACTTGAATTTCCTTTCAGTGTCACACAATTTATTAAATTAACAACTGTAACAAGTTCTTCTGAAATTGTGTATTGGGTTTCAAGGATTAAAAGCAGAGTAAAGAATATAATGATGTAGAATATATAATAATGAAATGAAATACATAATACGTAATCGCAAATAATACAGAATAATACACTGAAAAGTGAAAAATATTGGCCGCAGCCAAGAATACCTTCCAAGTCTGGACTTCACTTCATCAATCTTCTCTATAGTCATTTCCACCACTGTTGCCATATTGAACTGTACTCAATATACGCACTCGACTTGTATATATTGCTTCAGCCAGCCGATAAACACCCGAAATTAAACAACTGAAAATTCAGCCTTTCATCTGTATTTTCAACCAAAGCGCTTCATTACATATACCACGAATTCACTAACAAGTCACTACTATTAACGATAAGAGAATAACATTAACTGTCCTCTCAATAAAAGGTTGACATGGAGACTGGCAGAAGTCCAATTGCAGTGATTTGATGTAGGAAATGTTCGGTTTAAAATAGTGACTATCTCTTGCCACTCTGTTCCTGTTGTAATCGTCGGAAGTAATATCATTCGTTCAAAAGTGAAAGGTCACGTATGCAAGCACACACTCACGCCCAAAAAGATCATCAAAATTCTGACATGAACAATTGTATCACCGCAGAACGCTAACAATGCTGATCTTGGAGCCAATCGTCTCAGGAACTTTTACAGTTTTTTACTGACTGCAACTCTTTACAGATAAAAATTTTATTCAGACAGGGACAAGAGAAATATGACTAAGTCTCACCACTTTGTACAAGCAGACCGCAAGAACACAACAATGAAAGTTGGAAAACTCACTCACGGTCTGTGTCTCTCAATAAAGCAATGTGTCTTCTCGCTATCATGAACACTACATTTTTTACAACCCACTAATCATTGACAACTAGCTGACATAATGATGGTTGTTACCTTCTACTGGACAGCTTTGCGCAGTGGCGATAACGTGACCAATGAGGCATAGCCGAGGTGCGTTTATTGCTGGTTGAAAACTTTCACCCAATTGCCCGCCGCAGATCCTGAAAGATGGAGTCTGTAGGCAATTTTTGAACGCCCTGAACGGGGCAGATAAATTACAATCATACTATCCAGATAGTAGTGGAGATGAAGGGCCAAGTCTAATGTGAGTCATGGATTAGTGGGTCTGACAAAATGTACGACCAAGGGCTGGGTGGCTCACGTTCAGGATCTGCGATGCATGTCTGTCATCAACATTTGCATCCCAAATGTTCCCGATCAGAAATATACACCACGCTATCCTTCACATATTTCCTGTCACCGTTGACAAACTCCTACGCCTGCTTAGTACAAAAGCAATGTGACACTAAGAATAATCCTCCACATAACTTCATTTTTAATCAATGATACCCACACTTCACGCCAAGCCACTGCGAATACAAATAAGTGGGACTAGATCTCAGCACTATACAAATTAAAATTGCTCATCGTTAATTAGCCTAACATTAATCAGTGCTTTCTATAACAGTCAATAGCTTTAGAGTATCATCATATGAATCAACCTATATGCACATGATCAAAAAAGTACAGGCTTAATGTCCCGCAGATTTCATTTCCTGCACAAAAACGACACAATAATTAAAGTTCTGCTGTAAGATTCACCGTTAAAGATTTCAACTTTCATCTACATTACAAGTCTCAAAAATAATCTCAACACCATCAAAAATAATAACTTGAACATCTTACAACGATATTGCATGATATATTTTTGCAGAACATATATCTTGTTACGTAATACAGCAAAAACCTTCAACAGTACAAAATAGTCAAATCAATCATATTTCGCAACAGTTGTAACTTAGAGAACAATCACGTATAAATCCTTAATTCTAAACAGGAAATGAAATTTAGCGAGGAAATATAGATTAAGTAAGACAAAAGAAAAGGAAGCACTAAATATGAAGCGTTTTCATGTGAAACAACCATTTACAATAATTGGATGCAATAATGATTCTATCTTTTTATGGCATTGCATACAAATGAAGAAAGCCAGTAGTTGGCATTCTCGGACCCAACTGATGCTGAATAATATACTGCCGTGCAGTAGCTTTCCTCGCATTACATTCAAAAAGTACTCTTTGTGGGTGTATTTCATCGGCAGGCAATACCCTGGTAATTGTTCCGAGAGGCATTCTGACAACTGGTAAATTCTTTAAATCCGGATTACCTTCTACTGTTACATCTTTGGCATTCTCGTCAATTACGATTTTAAATTTCGGGAAGTCCTTATTCAATTTACCTTAAAAATACGTCATATGCAATAAAACAGCTTTTTATGCTGAAAAACAAGGGAAACAATATATAACATGCACATGATATGAATGCTTTAGAGCATATTAATAAAACATACTTAATGCTTGCTCACATATTCTTCTTAGTTCATCTTTTCTTCTTTCACATTTTCTTTTCTCTAAAATAACAGCAGCCTCCTTAGCAGCTTCCTCTAATAGAACTTCCTTCAATTTTTTTTGCATACTCAAATCCTCCACGCATGGCTTTTTCTCTGCTGAGCCTGACTGCTCTCTAAAAAAATTTTAAACGTTCGGAAATAGAAAGTTTTTACATCTGATACTTTCTTTACTCTGCATTTACTTAATCTTAAACAATCTTGAATTGCATACTCATTTTTCTCCATAAACATCAAAATATATTCTTCAGCTTCTACTTGAAGATCACCTTTCTCTCCATTCCATTCAACCTTGAAAATACTTTGCAAAAACTAACATGAAAATAAATGGCCCATTTAAGACAATCGCAGGAAACTCTAAATATTTTTTATGTAATCGTGCATGAAATGTAATAATAAAAACATAGAGATCTTGAACATTACTTAAGTTCAGGATGATCATAATTTACTGCAGATTGTTTGTCTGGATAATCAGAAATGTCCTTTGACAATTTCGACACCTTCTTTTTAATATCTGCTTCTTTGATTACATCTATGATTTCGTTTGCATGTGAATACAAAGCATCCGATAATAATGTTGGTATAGACAATGCCTGGAAGTGTTTATAGTAGTCTATTTTGTTTATATATTACAAAGTGCATAATATTGAAATACTTCATTTAGTCGAGCCCAGTTGAACCGTTCTTCACGATTATATTTAGCTTTTAATTCTATTCGCGTTCGGGATGGAATAAACTCATGCATCAATCCAAAATCTGGACCTGTTGCCCTATAAAAACCTCAATTTGCAGAATTACTAGAAGTTGTTTAAAACTGCACACATGAAAAAAAAACCACATGATTTTATGTTAATTAAGAAATAAGAATTTTCTCAATCACTCTTGTAATGGAAATTTGAGTTAAAAAGAAAAAACTAAATTTTTAAAAGGCCACCTTAAAACATCATAAAAAAGATCAGTCTCGATGTCACTCCACGGATTGCCTCTCGAACACGGTCTCTTCCGAAAACTCATCGAATTCAGTTTTCTGTCTACATGGTCCTACAAAAATTAGAAAAAATTCTCTAGAAAAATATTTTCATGAAATGAATCAGCAAATAAGAAAATGATAAATTATTCTTCACATTTTTAGGTACAGAGTTCTGTACCTTCTATCTATAAATCTGTTAGTCATCAGTGACTACACTAACGAGTTTATTTGATCCGATAGACCTCATAGAATCCGAAACTTGACACTTCCATTTCAAATACTTGTGAGTTTATATTACGAAAACAATATGACATACTTCTTGCACTGTTTCCCAAACTTCAGAACCATTTTCTTTCACTACAGTCAAGCTTGACTCATCAATAACTAATGAACCATCTTCTGCGATTTTAACCTGAAAAAATGACAAAATTATAAAAAAGATAACACCGCTGAAAGATTGTTCAAAAACAAAAAAGCGAAGTTAAAACAAGTAAGAAAGAATGTAATTTATTTACTTGTGGTGCAACAAATGCTGGTTTCGAAACTGCTTTCTCTTTAGATTTATCAAGCACTTGAAATTCCGAAGAATCGCCTTTTTTCTTCTTCTGCGCATCATCATACAGACTCTACAAAAATTTTAGAAACGAGAATTCACACCACATCTATGGAAACGATAATTATGGTAATTCTTCGTTAACATAATATAAACATATCTGGTATGACGAAATTATCTATCAATAAAAACAGCGAAAAAAATAACTTTTTCATTTTTTGGATTCCAGAAAATTAAGTCTTGCATAGTCATCATTTTAGGATCCAGAGGTTCATCACCGGCAAATTTCTTCCTGAAAAATATAATAAAAATAGGTCAAAAATTAGTCCATCTATTCAGGATAAAATAAAAAATATATACGTACTTTACTTTCACCTTGTTCTCAGCTGGAGATTGATGGGAGGAGGATGAAGGCATAATTTCTGCCTGTTGTGTGAGTAACTTCTCATTGCTAGCAACACTAAAATTAATCTAAAATTAATTTGACATTAAAATCAAATATATATATATATATAGAGAGAGAGAGAGAGAAAAAAAAAAGAGAAGTAAAAGAAATTATGGAGTTTCGTCTACCTTGAAGGTACCATTACCGTGCCTCACTTTGTATGATGAGCTTTCATTTTTATTTTACCATACAAGAGCGCCTTCTGGGCTGCTAATATATTTTCTACGGCTAGATTTTGATGGATCTTCTGCTTTTTTCACCAGTACATGGTATTTCTGCTCCACAAGGTCGTATTAGCCTTTAGATAGAGTTTAGCAAATGCTAAATAGGTGTTGTGAGCCTTCTCGTGCTTTGAAATCACCGGCCTTCTGGTAGATATTGCGCAGTATCTACAAGTGTATTATGAATGTGCTGAAACACTAGCTCACTTCTATGTTCATCTGTGAAATCCATGTCCTAGCTCGTGCCTTAGCAAGTACAGTCTTTCCAAGTATGCAAGCTAATTGTGAATTCTGTGTTTATTTTGTAACTTCTGATATCATGATCTATAGCTTTGAAGTCTTCTAGCTCCAGCTTGAGCACCCAGATGTAATAATTTATTGAACTCCTAGCATGCTCATTCACTGCCTTCATAAAGTTCTTGCCATTTAAAGCAGTTCTGGCTAATCGCTCAATTCTCACCAAAATCGTTGCTCGGATTTTATTGTAACTTTCACGGGTAAGTACACTAATCCTGTCTTCCACTATTCCAAGGTGTTTGTACCCTTGAGTTCCTTTCAATAGCGCGGCCTTATCAACCTACCATATCAAGAAACTTCTCAACTTTTTAAGCTATAGATTTTATTATATCCTAGTCGGTCGCAAAGATCTTGAGATCATCCACAAATAGTAGATGGTTTGTTATGTGCATTCCATGATCAGTTAGAACTGCTACTTTTGTTTACATTACTCTGAGTCGCTAGCTCAACGGGTTCATGCATAAAACAAATAGCAGCGGAGAAAAACTGTCACTCAAAAGTTCCCCGCTGTATTTTTTCTCCATTATAGCTTTCTTGCTTTTCAATGCAACGAGCAATCTGAAGAATGATGCTTCTCAGAAAAACAGCGGATCCACGCTGACATGTTAAGCCTTTTAATGCCCTCAATCAGATACACATGATTAAATAAATCGTACGCTTTTCTAATTTTATGCCATGTAATATAGAGCTAGTTCCTGTGCTCTCTGCCAACCACCAGTTTCACAGTGTTTGCTCTTCCGCACCTTGAACCTGGCCAACAGTTTCTAATTCATTATATACAAGTAGTCCCACTCTGGCAATAATTAGTTGCTTGACTTGTGCCACACATTTCGTTGCCAAATTGCCCTAAAGTTTTTGTTCAGGGAACCCTTCTAAATCAAGTATGTAACCCCTTTGTAGAACCGTAGATCTTGTTCCTCCCCACCTAGGCAAACTTGACTTATTTTTTTGTACAGATCTGGATGCTTTCAAATTTCGCTTTAGAGAGGAAAGTATCAGGTACTTCATGATCTGGAACAAATTCTTCCAGTGAGAGATATCGCTATCCTTTCCCACCCCCGAATTCTACATAGTATTTCAAAAATCCCTGATTTCTTCTAACTTTACATTGTAGCTGACAGGCTGTTCTTCCCTTCCGTCATAAGCATGCTTACAGGGCGTGTGACAGTTTATGAAAGTAAAATAAAAGGTTATAAGTCCTGGCATACATTTAAAATCCTAAATGCGAACTGTTTAGAAGACGATCTACAGGAATCTGAACTTATATTCTTTTCTATGTTTTACCTTCACCCGATAGCTTCTCCAGCCTTGTCATATTCTCATATCATTGTTCTGCCTTCCAATATCAGTTATTGGAAAGATTCTACGTAGCATATTCACCCGCCGTTTGGTTCACCGCTTCAAGTACAAGCAGGTCAATATTCTTCAAGATTATTTTCCACGTTCACTTTGCCTGGTTTATCTCACGTCCTTCGGCTTCTTGCATTAATACAAAGTACCAATACATCCAGATAAACCTTGAGTTAATGAGGCATAATTTCCTCAGAGGTTTCAAGTATCTTAACATGCTTTGTTGTCTCCTCTAATAACCGCTTCTGCTAGCATGGACGACCTACAATATTGTTGATTTCAAAATTCGCTTGTTTCTTAGTTCCTAAAGGCTAATCGCGCACACGAACTTTTTACAATAGAGAGACGACTCCCTCTCACGACATCTTCCCGAAACGGTCAAGGATCACCTTCAGCACTTCACTTGCTCTGTGAAATTCCACGGACGAGTGCTTCGAGGGTACTCAATCTGCTGGTGCCTAGTTCCGACTAAATTAGCAGAAAGCTCTCTCACACCCTTCACGGAGCTTTTCTAGCTGCATCTGTTTCCCAGTTTTTATTTATGATTCCAGATGCGGAATTTTTCCTTTTACACTATTCATGATTGCTGAAGAAAGCTGATCGGAGTTGACCGCTCGACTTTAAAATATACTACAAAATTGAGATCATCCTGAAAAAAAAATTCCACTTCCAATTTACAAACATATTGCTTACCATGATAATGATTGCTGAGACAATTTTAAGGATACACAATGTGGAATTTTCAAGAGTGAATGTTCGTGCGACTTTAACACTGAATGTTGTTGACACGGCATAGACGGAATGCTTCTTCGACATTTTGGAGAAAGTTGAGGAATCCTACGCGATAACTTGACTTCTCTAATATCACAAGATGCATCAAAATCTGAAATACGCAGATGAGATATATCAACTCGTAATTACAAATGCCCATTTATGATTTAAAAATTAGTCTGTCGTTCTTCAAAGTGTTAGATGTCTTCGTAAAATATACCATTCGTAATGCTTTGATTAGATTATATAAATTTTACAGGAAGTAATATTTGTCTACTCAAGAATTTTGACAAAACTGAACATATCAATACTTGATTGTGTGCTTGATTCAACTTCTTCTGAAAGAGCATTAATAGTCTCATCAAATGACATCCCAGAAGGCAAAGTTTGCTGTGCAATATCAACAAGAGGACCAGCACTACGATCAGATGAAATTGGCTCTACAGGACATGGTACATTCGGCCTTCTATTTCTGCTATGTATGGGTTTTGGCGGAGATTCAACGCTATTTCTTGCTCCAAAAGCAATATTTGAACGTACCTTGGATAAAAACTATGGAACTTTATTTAAAACCAGATATTAACTTATTAGTTCCTCTATTTCTTTTAAAACTGATTATAAACTGCCAAGATGAATGATTAAAATTATTAAAAGTAAACGAGCACTGCTACCTTACATATGGAACTTCAACTTTTAATGCCGTCTTTTCTTATCATGCAATATGAATCTGCTATAAGCGACAAATCACATCGTGACAGATTGAGGAGTTAACAAAAATGCCACCTTTGGACGGCAAAATCGCTCTCGGATTGATGTAGTTTTGAGGTTCGATGATGACGGCGAGGTATTCTGTTTAAGTGTCCTCATTCCCACTGAAGATGATGTAGATGAAGCTACACTTCCACTGTTGCCAAAAGCCACTTTTGGTGAAGATTCTTCCTTATTCTTCGCTCCAAAAGCAATATTTGGACGTATCTTGAAAAACTTGAAACTTCACTTAAAAATAATCTTCAATTAATTAGTTACTCACCTTATTTTCCTTGTAAAACTTAAAATGAATATTATCTAAACAGTATGCCTTAAAGAAACAGTGTTAGCTTATATATGTAACTTCAACTTCTAACTCTCCCTATCTTAACATTATATAAATTTCTTTCCACTGAATGTCATAAATGACGGTTTAGTACAAAAAGAAAAGAAAATACTACCTTCAAGCGGCGATGTCGCATTCGAGTAGAAGCAATTTCACAATTTGACGAAAGAGTATAATGATCCAATGATGTACCAATATTGTAATCTGCGGACTCAGCAGTGCAATCCAACGATTTTGGAGTATCCAATGATGGAGTAAAACTGTGATCTGATGACACGGTCTCAACTGCGACATCATCACTTGAAAGTGATATAGCTGAAGATATCACATCATCTAACGTTACATCATTGTCAAGAATCAACTTTGGCGGTGACTTTTCTTCGCTTCTTGCTCCAAAAGTAATATTCGGATGCGCCTTTAGTGAAAATGAACAATTATACTTAAAAGTAACAATTAATTTATCATTATATAAATTTATTCATGGAACTACAAAATAAAAACATAGTATTGCACTGAACTTAATTTAACATTTACAATATTTTTTCCCACCTTGTATGCATGTCTCATGCAAAAAATGAAAGGTCAGGGATATTATAGATTAAAGAGCTAACAAAGTGCTACCTTTAAACGACAACGCCCCATTTGAATCGATGTAGTTCTGTGATTTAATGATGTAACATTACGATCAGATAATGAAGCAGTATTGTGATCTGATGACTGGGCAATACTCTGGCTCAATATTGGTGCAGCACTGAGATCCAATGATAAGGCAGTGCTATGATCTGTTGACGGAATAGAACTGATATGTGATGATGGAACGATATTGTGGAGCCATGACATTGTTTCTGCAGATGATACATTTGAAATTATATTTCCTGATGCTGCATCGCATTCTAGGGCCATTTGTGGTGGTGATTTCTCCTCATTTTTCGCTCCAAAAGCAATATTTGGACGTATCTTTAAAAAAATTGTCTTATCCAGGTATAATTATAAATCCCTTAATGATTCTATTCTTTTGTGGAATTTATGACATTAAGCTAATAATTCTTATCAGAATCATGAACGAATCTCAACCACTTCCATCTATCAAGTAATACTTTATTGAAGAATGCCAGGTGATAACAGAAAAGATGATTGATAAACGTATTACCTTGGAACGACGATATCGTAACCCTGTTCTCGTAATTTTATGATCTGATAGTACTGTATTACTGTGGCTCGATGACTGTATAACTTTATGACTGGATGACAGAGCGATGTTGTAATGCAGTGATGGTGCTGCACTCTGATCTGATGATACCTCCTCTACAGAAGTTGATATAGGTGACGTGACTTCACCATGTGAGGAAGTTACATTTTCTGGCGTTATAACGCTATGAGGAACCAATTTACGCAATGATTTTTCTCTAGTTCTTGCTCCAACAGCAATATTTGGACGTATCTACAGTCAAGATTAACAGAGCTTAATTCAGGAAAAATTAAGGACTCATTCATAAAATTACAAAGCACAAACAGTACTACTTATTTGAATTAGAAAATGCATTGCAAAAAGTACAAAATCAGAGATCTTATAGACTGAAGGGTTGACAAAATGTTACCTGCAAACGACAGCGTCTCGCTCGGATCAATTTAGTTTTGTGCTCTAATGACATAACATTACGACCAGGTGAAGCAGTATTATGATCTGATGATTTAGCAGCATCCTGATTCGGTAATGATGTAATACTGAGATCAAATGATAAAGCAAAACTCTTATCGGATGACGGTACAAAAGAATTGTAATGCGATGATGGAAGAATACTGTGATCCGATGACACTGTTTCTGGTGATACCACATCAGCTGGGATTGTACCGTTATTGAAAACCAGTTCCGGTGGTGATTTTTCATTGCTTCTCATTTCAGAAACGATATTTGAACACACCTTGAGAAAAATTAGCAAGTCTCTATTTAAGAATAACCCAACTTACCGGTTAAATCTATCATATGTATTAAAAATACATAACTGCTTTCACTTTCGAACTTGGTCTTGGTCCTCAAATACAAACTTTCCTTTACTGAATAATCATGATTTGTTGAAAGCCATCACAACTGTTTGAAGAATTAATAAAAACGGTACCTCCGTATAATGATGCCCCGACCTCATCGAAGCCAAATTAACATTTAATAACGGTGCTATAATTTGATTTGATGTTTCCGTCTTTGCTGAAGACAGTGATGATATACGGTTCACAGGAATTAGTCTTGATGGTGACTTTTCTTTGTTTGTCGTAGCAGTCACAATATTTGGACGCATCTGCAAAAGCTTGCACAAGAAACAATAGCCAACTCTATAGGTTTCTTTTTTTTTTTAAAGTTGATTACAGTTCATCATTTTACTATTAAAGATAAGCAAACGATACTAGTAACATTTGATTCCAGCCTACAAGTACTGCAAATCACAAAATACTTCTTTCAGGCAAAAGGTTGTGTGTACAATTTAAAAAATTTATCCTAAGTCAAAATGAAACAAGTTTGTAGTTGCATTGAAAACCATAAAACAGATAATGGCAGAAGAAAATATCGACTAAAATTAAACCTTTGAACGACCGCGTCGTGTCATTTGCACTAGAAATTACGATGTCTAAATTATTCTTGAAAAAACTCGTGTCATGTACAAAAAACAATCGGATATCATTAGGAGAACGCGGATTTTGTATATCGTCTCCTGCTTTCCTCCGTTTCAATGCGAACTGCTTATTTAAACTTTTTTCTGTAAATTCGTTCCACAGTTCTTATTATCAAGATTTTACTGCTTCTTGTTATGAGGAAAATCTTATGATGCTTACTTTCAGTAGACTCACAAACCTCAAAACTTGAGTGATTCCTACAATGAATCTCCAATATAAATATTCCAAATAATGAAGTGACCAAATAACTACATCAGTTCTAGATTATAATATACATAGTTACGCTGATCACAAAAAAATTAATGAAAGTAATAATGTAGCAAAATCATTAAATGTGATCTTCTAAATACTGATTTCATGTAGTTCAGTTTTCTATTCTCGATTATAAAAATAACTTCACTAAATGTGAGGAATCAGTGAAACTAAATAACATTATTGAATTGCTAGATGCCTGACATTAAGGCTAGCATCCAGCAAAACAAATCAGCGAACAATCAAGCAACGTCGATGTATTGCTTTTCTCTCGCATCTCTTGTCTGAGAGACGAGAATGAGAGAGACGGAGGATGGGAGAAAAGAAGGAAGAGATGAAGAGGAGAGAAACAGGAGTGTGGGGGGTGCGAGTGAGTGAGGGAGAAGGGGTTTCCCACTTAGACATTTATTGCGCAATCATTCATAAATGCAGTATTTCGACATGTGCACGGAAGAAAACTATGGGTCATAGAGTCTTTTCACTTTTGTTACGAGTCCGAGTGTTGCTAGTGGTGACTGGTCGATTGTTCGTGTATATCGTGCTTGTGCACCCGCTACTATTGATATTATCACTATACTTTCTGGATATGAATGCTTGTATTAGTAGTAATCATATATTAGCGAATGCACAAAAGCAGTCTTATCTTGCTGTATTTTACTGCTTTGTATTACTACTAATAAATGCATTTATATCCAGCAAGTATAGTGATAATATCAATAGTAGTAGTGGTATTGACAACAGCAGCGATGATAATAATTACTTGTTTTTGAATGAAATTTGTCGGTAGAACAAGCAAGTGAGCATCTCCATCTATAGATAGACAGATAGTTTCCTATTTGCCCAATTTGAAGGTGGCAGGGCCTGATGGAGTTTATAACTTCTTTATTAAGAAGTGCACCTCCTTGCATCCAGACCTGTACAAAATAGTAAGATGAATTTGTCTGGATGGAGAGGAACAACATCCCGAGTTCTATAAAGGTACTACCTACCTGATTCCAGAAGGTGTCCCAAGTAAAGGCAGCGACTTCAGACCAATAACTTGTGTGTCGAACCTTCACAAGTTGACAACGAAATATGTAGCACGTATCATGCATTTGAATGTTGCTATGAGAAAGGTGCTTGCAGGTAAACAATTAGAAATTGTTGTCCAGGCTTAAGGTACGAAGGAACAGGCACTATTGAACCTGGCGGTTTGCAGAGAGCTCGGGAACTAACTATATTACATGGTATACAATTTAAAAAGCGTACGATTCAGTTAATCACGGATACCTGACTAAATGCATTGAAAGGCTTAACATGCCATCGTGGATCAGCAGGTTTCTGAAAAGCATCACATCCAGATGGGCAGTCGTACTGTAGAACAATGAGGAAACTATAATGGAGAAGAAAATAGAACGAGGAATTTTTCAAAGTGATAGCCCTGCTATTTGTCCTGTGCATGGACCCCTTGAGCCGTCGGCTCAATAAAGGTATCCAAAGCTGGCGGTTCCAAGTGATCAAGGAATGCACATTACGAATCATCTGTTGTTGGTGGATGATCTCAAGATCTTTGCAATGAAATAGAAAAGAAAACCCACCATGCCGAGCTGTACAAGATGTGGACGAATAAAATCTCGTCCGTAACTGATTCATTGATATGGCTACGATACGGAAACATATTCTGCAAGATGAGGCACGATACTTTTATCTCCAAGATAGAAATATGTTTGGAGGTGAGAAAGGTATCTGCCAACATTGTGG